ATAATATTGATATTCAGAGTTCACCAAAACATGTATATACACTTCAGAAAAAAAAATTGTGTAAATTTTATTTATTTATTTGTTTGGAACTGGGAATCGAACTCAGGACCTTACACTTGCCAGGCAGGCATGGTGACACTGAGCTAAATCCCCAGCTCTTGTGTAAATATTTTAACACTAAATTTATTGAGACATCATGAGATTAATACAAGTTACCTTTGACCACCATAATTACAAGAGGTGCTCAGAGTGGTGGGCATTAGCTTCCAGATGCTTATTAGTATGGCAAACTGCTGCTTGAGTAACCTTGGTCATTGAGATTGCTGCACATGCATTTTTAATTTCTTCTCTAAGGGCTGGCAGTGTAGTGGGTTTTTGATGTACAATATCCTCTAGAATCCCGCATATGAGGGTAACACCATCCGTTGAAAAAACATCATACTATTTTTCTTTTCCTGAAGTGTGTATACATTTTTTGGCAGGTTCTGTATATGAGACATATATTCATGGCACATATAAATGGCACACACTTGTATTTGAAATTCAAGTAAATGAATAGTTTTTAGTACTATGAGTAGGTTTCAAATACTTCATGTGACATACTTATGCCAAAAATATTATTCAATTATTATTTATCTGAAATTAAAATCTCACTTTGCATCATTTATCTGGAAATTCTAACCTAGCAAAAAGTGAATTAGTTTTCAGAGTAGAAGTTCAAACAGTGTAGATGCTCATATTGGGCTTGACATCACAGACTCTAGAGTTTTTGTAGACTTTGCCTTATGTCTTTGAATGTCCACTGTGTAAATAGCTCGGTACTCAGGCGTACTCCTTTGTCATAATTCTCTGCTGTTTGTCACTATGTACACGATTTCTACTGAGAGAATGGATCTTTTCTTTGCCTGGTAAGGAAATTTAATGTATGCATTCAGTTAAGAGGGGGAGATGAGCAGAGCTTATTTGTGAGTTGGCTCATGCTATCTTCTATCCTATGCTGACCTGTTGTTGCTGGATAGTGGTTGTAGAGCATTTGACCAGAGAGTATAAAATTCACTGCTGGTGTTTTGGGATGAATGTAGGGAAAACAATGTGTACCTTGATAAGGTCTATAAAACTCTGGATAAGGGTGTTCTTAGGGAGTTATTGACTGTAACAGGACTCATAATTTACTTTGCTGCTCAGGCCAAGATGCCTGAGAACTGATGTACCGGACACTGAGCGTGGCTTGGAGAAAGACTCCGTACTGTTGCCATTATAATGAGGTTGTTTACTTAGCTCATTCCCTATTAAAATATCAGATGACTGAAATATTATTTTTATTGGAGGATTTTTTACAACTCAGAAACACCCAAGATGTGAATAGTTTATGTTTTAGAAGGTGAAAGAGTGTATTTCTTCATGACTGGAAACATAATTGAAATATGGTATGTTTCATCTCTCACACTCTTTTCTCCATTCATACTTATGCCAAACTTGATAATTATGGAAATTCTACACCTAGGGTACTTGGGCAGAATTGTAGATATTTATCATAGAAATTAGACATTTTCTTTTTGAAAAAGCTGAGTTCTAATGGCAGAAAGATTGACCAAAAACAATCAGTCATGAAACATTTTTGTGGCCTTGGTATCATGATCTTGTGAGTAAAGTGATGGTCTGTGATTAAATCCAGATTGAGCTGTTTCCTGTTAGCGTGCTAACCCACAGGGCAGGCTCAGCCTTCCTTGTCTCATTTTCTAAATGAGTTATTAAATATTTGTCTGCTAAGGGTTCCACCTCTTTTCCTTCAAACTTCAGTTCAAAGTTATTAGGATACTACAAACAAAAACAGGTCCTGAAATCTCTTAAAAGGATTACAGATCTATCGAATCTTTCGGTGTAACAGTGACACTTTAACATTTTAGTTTCTCTAGTCTGGCTATTATGGCATAGACAGTATGTGTGCATTTGTATGTGTGTGTGTGTGTGTGTGTGTGTGTTTCACTTCTGTACAATTTCATTTCAAGATAATTCCAGTTCTAAACAGATAACTTTTAAATTATTATTTTGTAAAGATTTTGGTAAATTAGAACTCATCTTGAAAAACCCGGTCTTTCCCCTGTGATGGCAAGTGGACATTAGAGGATTTAGCAAATCTGTAGAAAATGATGCTTAGGAAATGGTCTGACACCTTACATGCATTGTTAATTTCTATGACAATGATTTTAGGCACCAGAACAATTCTGTATTTTATTTTATGACATTATCATTTCTGCTCACTTACTGCACTCAGAGAATGATTTTTAAAAATCTAAATATTAAGTGTTTCAGCCATTCTTTTAGGTCAAACATGATTCTTCCAAATGTACAGATCCAAACACTGAGGAACAAAAATTGTTAAAGGAACTAAGGGGAATCAGGAATGCAGATTGAGATTTCTTTCTTCTGAGTAAAGGAGGGCTGAAAAGAAGAGTTTGGGTTAATGAGAAACATAATTCCATTCCCAAGGGAGAACCTTGGCTTCCAGCCAAATCTGCTTTCTGGCAGGAAAAGGGAGCCACTTCATCAGGTCTTTTGATAAGCAGTTTTCTCTCTGTTTGAATTTTTGGCCACATCAATACTCAGTGAAAAATTAGTTCTTTTAAGGAGTCATTACTTTGAATAAGAAAGATTAAGTTTTAAAGTGGAGTTTTCATTTTAAGCACAGTAAGAATCATCAAATATCAGAATTGTTTGGTAAGGTAACCCTGACATTAACACAAGGTAAGGAAGCTTGATTTAGAATTAGAGCTTGAATGTCCCTAACAAGTGAAAAGCCTCATTCCTTTTGCTGTTAACACTTGACATTTAAGCATATTTTTAAGCTGTTACTTTTTAATATTTTACCTGTTTTGGCTAGGTCTTTTGAAATGCAATGTGAAAAACACAAAACATCTCTATATTTTAGTATTGCATTAAGAAAGAGATGAAAGAAATATAGATGTTTGTAGATAAAAATTAACATGTTTTATAGTGTTTTGATTTTTTTGTTTTCTTTTTTTAGTGAAAAATAGTAAATATGAACTAGGTCTTAAATGCATTATCGTAGCATTTTCCAACATAAATGCATTCCAAAGTTCTGCAACAATACTCAAAGAAGAAAGAGAAATCCATTTGGAAATGCCACATCCCCGTCTCTCTCTAGGAGTTAATAACACATGTTAACATATCAAAAGACTAAGACATATTGTAGTAGAGAAATATCTTACTTTATTGAACTCTGTAGTCTCCATACATGACCACAGGCCCTTCTTTATTTTGGAAATAGTGTTTTATAGCACACAATTAAAGCAATACTGCACCAAATAGTTAAAAATGTGGGGTAGTTAGATTTTGAAACCATGTATCTTTTCACTTATTGTTTCTGCTTTAAGTTAATTAGAGCTTCTAGGAAACGGATGGATTCTACTAGGATTGTTCTAAAACTAGTATAGAGTGATAAAGGATGGTTGTTAGGCCTTGATCTGACTCAGCAGTCCTGCAAGGCCCAAAGAAACATTTGGTATTGTGTATGAACCAGATCTCTTTCCTTAGAAAACTTAAAAGTGAAATGAAATAAAGAGCCATTCACTGCATAAGCTGGGGTCTTAATATTAATTTCTGTTAGCAGTTAGACATAATGACATTAAGCAGTCCAACCCCTTTCTAAAAGCAGTTACCATCATTTTGATCTTTCTGAAAGCATTTCGTTGGTTAGTTTCTTTCCAGTAGTTTAACATCTTCCAGGTTAAGTGAAGAAAAAGAAAACATGCTTCTTGGCAAGCACAATTACTACCATTAGGGATTCATTTCTCTTTTATTGCCCCTCTTTAATTTTTACTTGCCTGATTATTTAAATTTAGGAAAATCTTCAATAATGCAATTCAATTTATGATTCAGATAAACTTGCAATTGTTCACATAACTTAGAATAATTATTTGTTTTAGAAAAGGATTCACTACAGAACTTCTCTTGAAAGGACAGTTTTCCTAATGCCTGTGAAGGATAAGGCATTAAACTTGAAAATTGTTTCTCTATATACTTTGTCACCATGCATTACATGGCAGAATGTAAAGCACAATCACATTTTTCTTCACTTTAATTCTCTTCCCTTATTCTTGGTCTTTAAGCTTTCAGCTTTTATCACCAATCAATTTTTATATATTATGTTTATGTCTACCAATGTACAGTCATATCTACCATTCTTACAGTTTTATTCTCAAGTAATAACTACTTCTCGTGAGTAAACGTTTTATCTTGTACAGTTCCATTTTCCAAAGGCAAAGCTCATGCATCCACTCACCCTTTTTAGTGCTCCCCCGAGATGAACCCAGTGTACCTCGGTACAGCCATATTTCAACCAGCACTACTGATTGCTGATGCTGTTGAATCAGAACGTATGCTGCTTTCCACGGGCTGAAGAATATGAGCTTGTGATTTGATCGCCATAGATTTCCATGGAAAATGTACCCCTACCATGGCTGATTTTTCAAGCTATCAACATGATGTCAGTTGATTCACACAAAGCCTAAAAATTTTTTAACAGTCACCTCTCTAAAATCAGTATGAGTTGACTCTGGCACACCATTTTGGAGCTGTCTTTAAAAATGAGTTTGAAAACTCATCTTGGAACAATATGAAGGGAATGATTGATAATATTTGCAAAACTCAATCCTGGGATCATAGGAAACATCTCTGATAAAATATGCCGGCAACCTAGTTCTTGACATGGGAATAAGTAGAAGCAAATGTAACTGTTATGAAGTAACACTTGGACCTTCTGGAGAGGAGAGGGGAACACACATACATATGTCCTCCACCACTGTCATCACCATGCTGCTGCATACATTCATAGGAGAGAGCATTGCCTTATATGACTTACAGGGAAATTAAATAGGAGCAAAGACAAACAATAGACTGTAGCTTTAACTATTTCGATGCTTTTGGTTTTACTTGAAAAAGTAATTTCTCCTAATGGTAATCATTAATTTATTATACAGGTTGAAGGGGACCAGCTACCTCCAGGACATACAGTCAGTCAGTATGAGACCTGTAAGATCAGAACCATAAAAGCTGGCACCTTGGAGAAACTTGTTGAGAACTTGCTGACAGCTTTTGGAGACAATGATTTTACCTATATCAGCATCTTCCTGTCAACCTACAGAGGCTTTGCTTCCACTAAAGAAGTGCTGGAACTGCTGCTGGACAGGTGAGGATCTGAAGAGGGTTGAGAGTTGCTGGGAATATAAAGCTGAGTGCAGAGAGAAGGCGTGAGGTTCTGAGCCACCTGAGGTTGGTGCTCTGAGAGGGAGTGAGAAGAAGGATTAACTGGAAGGAAAGACCTTTGCAACAAATGACATTGAAAACTATTCAGAAGCCACTTGTATGGGTCCTGGGGAACGAAATCTTATTTAAAAACTAGGGCTGATGATATAGCTCAGTGGTAGCGTGCTTGCCTAGTGTGCCCAAGGCTCTGGGTCCAATCCCCAGTACTTCAAAATGCATATATGTTTGTGTTTCTGTGTGTGTATGTGTGTTGTGTGTGTATGAATTAAGAGTAGATATAATAAGTCTAAATTCAACTATTTATACATTTCAGTACTATTTGCCACCCTGTTTTAATTTTATAGAAATTAATTTTTAATATTTATAATTTTATATAAATTCAGTAATTAATGAATTTTTTGTGAGAAAGAAATGTGATAATATGTATGAAGTATGGAACTCGGCCTTAGACCCACAATAACAACTAGCTATTAAATGGCAGCTCTGATAATGATGATAATAGGTATTAGCAATCACCATGTATTAGCTGCTTTTGGATATGCATATAGATATCCTTGATCCATGTTGTTATAGTTCATGTACCCAAGAACAGTTTATGTTGACATATGGATAACTTCTATATTTTCTACTTTACTTTGGTCTTATTTATAATTAAACTTGGCCATTTGAAAAAATACCATTAAATTAATTTGATATTGGGAGGAAAAAAACCTGTCAGCCAAACAATTGTTTTTGAATCATGAGAATCCTCATTCAGATCCTTATATTCTGGAGTGTCCTGCATAAGGAAGGAAATAAGATAGGGTATTTTTTTTTTTGGTACCGGGGATCGAACTCGGGACCTTGCGCTTGCAAAGCAGGTACTGGAACCACTGAGCTAAATCCCCGGCCAAGATAGGGTATTTTTTGATGGGCTTGTTGAGTATTGATTTTGATACCTAGATTTTTTTGGCGCAATTTTTTTTTTTTGTACGGGGATCGAACTTGGGTCCTTGCGCTTGTGCAGCAGGCGGCGAAACCACTGAGCTAAATCCCCGGCCCTGATACCTAGATTTTTTAAATTATAAAAGTAATCTACTCATGTTGAAAATGTTAAGAATTCTTCTACTATGGAAGGGTATAAAGAGCTTTGTTCTATTGTTACAGTTCCTTCCAAATAACATTTATTAGATTGTAAAATTTAATAAGATATATTACATAAATATATTACTGAAATCTATAAATAGTTGAATCTAGATTTATTATATCTACTCTTAACTCATATACATACATATATATATGACTAATACAGTAGTAGAAAGATGAAAACTAAACAGACCATAGTCTAAGGAGGCAGATAATCAAATAACAGTTTAAAAATACATGTATCCATATATATGATGAAAAATTCAAACAATTCAGAAAATTATAAATAATAAGCCAAAAATTTCCTTGTCTCTAAGTTCTCTAGTTTCATCTTCTCTTACAATCACAATAAGACATTTTTCTGGTTGTTCTTCCCAAATTTTTCTGGAAATATATTTGAATTTTGTGAACAGTGCTAGGAGGAGCATCTTTTCTGAGTCCTCGTTTGAGAATTCTATAGGATAATTTCATGGACGAGTAACTGATGGGTGAAAATATATTAGCATGTAAATATTTGACCGGTATTGCCAGATTGGCCGCCAGATTGGCCGCCAGCAGGCTGTACCAGCCACGTCCCATGCAGCGAGAATGAGCGCGCCCATTTTCTCCCTTTCCCACACCCTCTCCAGCTGTAGCTGTTTTCATCCCTGTCACCGAGATCGTCTTTACTATGATCTGTCCATGGAAAACCAGTAGCTCCTTGTTTTTGAATTTATGTTTCTTACATTCACAAGTACAGTTTAGCACCTTTTAAAACGTTCGCTGACTGTTTGTGTTTCTGTAAACTGTCTTTTCTTATCCTTTGCCTATTTTTTTGGGGGGGGGTGTCTGTTTTCCTGTAACTGCTGATCATCTAATTGTGGTTCGTATTATATTAAGGAAATTAGTTTTTTGCTTATCATCATGTTGGAGATATTTTTGCTAGTTCTTTGATTTTAAAATTTGTTGTTGATATTCTTTGTATGAAGAAATTAAGCATTTTAAATGTAATTATATCTTATTATTAAGAAAGACCTTTAATAGTCAAGTTCTCTTCCAATGCAGGAAAGCTTATTGATAACGATAGGTTTTTCCTCAAACTAGTTGAGTTAGCCAGCCTTCAGTCACCACAGAAAATACCTGAGATAATCAGCTTATGAAGAGAAAGGTTCATTTTGGCTCCAGTTTTGGAGGCTCCAGTGCATGATTACGAGCCCCTGTTGCTTGTAGGCCGGGGTTGAGTCACCATATCACACAGTGGAGCACAGACACTCATCTCTTGGCCTGGGAACAAAGAGAGGAAGAGCAAGGGGTTATGGTCCCACTGCCCTCTTCAAGAACATGCCTCTTGCTAGACATGGTGGTGCGTGCCTATAATCTCAGCAGTTGGGAGGCTGAGGCAGGAGGATAGCAGTGAGTTCAAGGCCAACCTGGCCTATGTAGTGAGTTCTAGAGCAGCCTGAACTACATAACGAGACCCTGTCTCAAAAAGCAAAAGCCCCTAATTTAGCTCAGTGGTGCCACACTGCCTTGCAAGTGCAGGGTCCTGAGTCCGATACCTGGTACTGCCAAAAAAACCCAAACAAAAACCTTAAACAAACAAACACAAATGCCCCTAGTGGCCTAAAGATAGTCTACCAGACCCCAGACCCCACCTCTTAAAGATTCCACCACTTCTGTATAGCACCACTCTGAGAATTTAACACATTGGGCTTTGGGGGACATTTAAGATCCAAACTATAGTATTAGTTTTCTTGTAGATGCATATAGAGCTTAATAATTTGGATCAATGGTCATTCATATGTGCATATTCAAAGATACTCACAAAATATCAGTTCTTTATCATATATTTATCTGGTTAAGATACCCTGGGTTGTAACATAGGAGGTTCTGTAAATATTTGCATAGAAATATTTGACAAAATATTAAGCCTGGAATGTAAGTTTCTGGGATTGGTGAGTAATTTTCATCATAGTTTGTTTACTTGTATAATAGTTCATAGCTATAAGTAGAAATTAAAGAACTATGAATTTTCTCTTTTTGGTGTTTTGTATTTATTAAAAGATACAGATAGTAACTATTGGCAGGCAATAGGAGGAAATAGGTCAGATTTGCTTTGAAGTTGTAACCTTTTCTAGCTAGGGGGTAACTCCATTGATAGCAGGCATAGATTCTTGCTGTTCATCCTAAAGAGTAGACATACACACAGGAACTGGAGTGTTTAGTCTGTGACTGGGGTACATCCTGTTTTTATTGGATGATTTTTAAAATCTTCTCTTTGTTTTCTTATTAGAGTGGATAGACATTTTTGGATTTTTAAAATACTAATTGGATAATTATTAAATAACAGACTCAGCATGAATTCAAATTACATTTAATTCAAACTGTCATTTAAGATATAACTGAATGAAAAGTTAAGACTTACTTTGTGCCATTTGGGTGGACCAAAAACTTTGCTTTGAATTTTATCTCATAGTTAATCCTTTGCTTGTTCCTCAAATTAGTGAAACCAGTAGGTACTGAACACCTATAAAATACCCTGTGTTGGGGCTGGGGATTTAGCTCAGTGGTGCTGCTGCCTGCCTCACAAGTGCAAGGTCCCAAGTTCAATCCCCGGTACCACACAAAAAATCAAAAACAAATAAAATACCCAGTGTTCTGCTTGACACTATTCAGATGGAACTTGGAAATATAAAGCTTGGTTTTTGCCCTGATGTAGGTTAGAGATAGATTTACTGTGAAACTGCTGGTACTTTATCTTGAGGGCCCCTCATTTGCAGTACCCTCACATAATTTTATATTTAAATTTGTTTTCCTTGGAGAAGACCCCTCAAATTATGTATGCTAGTCCTACAAATCTAGATCTACTCCTATATTTTAATGCAAGAGATAGAGCTTGCACCCCTGGAACAAGTAGGTCAATACCCATGATGATGAAAAATAAAACTCAAATGTGTTCTGCAGATGAAACAAGGTTTAGAGATATTGATGCCATTTATTTTGCTTCTTTTGCAGAATTTAGATTTTTCCATATATGTACAAACCTCAACATGAATATTTCTTCCTAACTCCACTTCCTGTTCTCACTTAGATCTTGTGGCCAGGCTTCAATCTTGATTAAATTGAACTAAAATGCATATTCCATGAAACACTGCATTCCTAAATTGGTTGTTGGGACTTCTAATGTCTGTAATTAGAAGGAAGCAATTACATTATACAAACTTGCCTATTCTGAAGATGAACATTTGAAATATTATTTTCATGTCAGTAGATTGTGGTAGATATTTGTGGGTCTCTGATATAATTTTTTATGTTATTTCTTTTGGTTTTCTTAATAGGACATTGATTATGTTTTGTGAAATTAACACTAAGAAACTATCAGAGTCTGTGCTAATCCTGTAATAACCAGTCAAGAAGAGATTGAGAGCAGATGCAATATTTATTTCCCACCAGAGAATAGCTTATTTGAAGTCAAGCCTTGTTTTCCCTTGAGACTTTCAGTCTTGGCTTTTCTTATATGAACTGTTTGCTTTCTGGGATTTCCTTTTTTTCTTTTTATAGTTTTTTTTAAAAATTGTGCTAATATGTGCCTGTGTGATTGACCAGTAGACAGTGGTTTTAAGTCATGTATGAATAATTCTGTGTGTTTATTTTGTCCCTTACTTGGGGTAAGGATACCTATTTGCTGTGCTTCTCACGATGGCTCAGAGTTGATTCTAGGCCACACTGGCTTCCTTTTAACCCAAGAGAAAGTTACTGAATTGTGGGTTGGCTGTTTGGATTGGGGTTTTGAGATTTTATTTTCTCTAATTTCAAACA